AGCTATGGGCTGCACTGGAGGGGTTCGATTCCCAGCAAAGGCAAGATTTTTCTCTGGGGTCTACCCACCCTCCAGTTCACTGGCTACGAACAGCGATTTTCCCGGGGATAAAGCGAGAGGGACGTGAAGCTGACCACTCAATTCCATATAGTGCCGAGGTCAAGAATGGTGAAGCTATACCTCGACCCCCCATGGCTCTTCATGGCGTAGTTCTTAATGAACAAAGAGACAATTTACTTTTTTCACCCAGTCAAGCAATAAGGTCCAACCGGGTACAATTTCAGTGAGGATACCAATGATGTTATCGATGTTTTCATGGTTTTTCTCAAACCCTCCCGTCGAATTCAGAGGTAATTTCCCACCCAAATCTGTTTGACTTTTCATTCATGACCAAATTAACAGACCTGTCACTGAATGCTGCAGTGTCCTGCAGTTCATACACATGCGTTAAAAAAAACACGAATGCAATATTTGGAAGCAAAACATGGGCCTATAGTGTCATACTGAAATAAAGATTCCAGGAGGTCTAACAATTTCACCATTCACCACATCATCACTGGCAACAAAACTGTTAATCAGGCCATAGGCGTACAATGTTTGAAATAAGGAAAACAATTGGGGAGAAGGATATTATCTTGTGGAATACAGTTCCCTGTAGTCCGTTGAAAGTCAAGTGACGTTTCGGTTGAACATACCGCATCCACGTTCAGGGTGGAAGATTATGCCAAGCAAGAAACACAAAGCAGTTAGCAAGTAGGGCTCTGCACGGAGTAATATTCCAGAAGACAGAAACCTTCGCAACCACCGCTGTCAGAACCTTAAATCCTACAAAAAGGGGGGGGGGAGTTTTTCCCTTATAAACACAGTAGGTCTAAAGACCGTAGAGCTCTATTCTGCTAAGTAGCTTAACACAAAAGCAGAGCAGGCCTACAGGAAGCTCAGAGCACAGAAATATAAGGTACATTTATATCTGGAGCAGAAGCACTGAAAGCTAAACTCGCTCTCTTGCACACTCTCCATCTCCGGTCTCGCCTGCTTTGGGTGGGACAGATCTGATTCAGGAGAGGTCTAACCCCCCCCCCACACACACACACACACACACACATAAATAACGCAGAATTGAACTGTATAAAGTTCGAAGTTTCACAAACAAGAACACAAACTCCATGGCTTGTAGTCCGCAAGCGAAATATATCGACCGAGCGACCGCCGTTTGTCGACTAAGTTAGTGCAACTTTTGCGGATAGAGGCTGTCGTGTGGTCAGCACAACGGATCCCCACGGCCGTTAATCTCGGTTTTCTAGACCGGAGTCGCTATTTCCATGAAATAGCTCCTCAGTTATCTTCACGAGGCTGAGTGGACCCCGTTCCAGACCCACTACTTCTCAGAAAATCTGGTAGCGCCGGGATTCGAACCCGGGACCTGTGGATCTGAAGCCAGGAACTCTGACCACTAGACCACAGAGCAGGTCNCAGAGAGGCGGTCTTCGAAGTTTCACATCGGTGATAATTCATACGGTGGTTTTCTGGGATACCCTCAACACTGAGGCGGTATATTCATCCGAAAAGTCGGTAACCAACCAATCAAACTATACTGCGTCATAAGCCAAAAGACCAAAATATGAAACTGAACTCGAAATTATCCCTGTAACAGGCCGTGAAGGCCTATAGGGTTGTGAGACGTCGAGGCCCCCACATTTTCTCTAGACAATCGGCTCACAGATGGCGCTAAGGTTGTCAGCCTTACACGCCGGCCGCCCTTTACCCCCCCAACACCACCTAACCGGGAAGATTCCTGGTACTCAATTCTGTTAGCGGCTGAGCCGAGAAGAATAGTTAGGGGCTGTAGGCTACGAAAATTTATGAAAAGAAACTGAATGCAATAAATACTGAAGAATTATTTCGCTCATATCTTGTTCTTCGGGTTTCGGGAATAAGGCACGTAGAATGTTAAGGTTTTCCAACGTTTCAGAAAACACGGCAGTTACCATCTTCAGTACTGCTCTCTCTGGGGACAAGTAGTGTTTGTAAGCTGAAGACGACCTGATGGAATTGGTGATATACCTGAAACGTTAACAATGGAAGGTGGAAAGTTTCGGAAAAGGCCCGCAAAAGATTAGCTAACTGAAAACCGGGTAGTTTCCGATCGCTCGATATTCACTGCATTTATAAATTAAGACAAATGTTTCATTTGTTCTTAATATGCGTTTCATGTCAGATTTAAAACTTCGTGACGGTGGTAAATTAACTTAATTATTGACTTTTTGGGCATTATCCATCATCCTGTTTTTATTTATTTTAAACAGCGTTTCGGAGATTTGGAGTAGCTCTATTGATTGGGCCCAACTGAGTAGGGTTCTTTACTCAAGGACGGTAACAGAATCCAGTTACAAAGTACAGTTCTAAATAAATAAATAAATAAAACAATGCGATTCATATTGCCAAGAAGTCAATAACTGTACCATTTCATTTTCTGGCGTTCATATATTATTTGCTGCAGAAAACAGAATCCCCCGGATCACAGTGCCCGCATGGTCTATGGCATTAAATTTGTCCTCCCGCTCAAACACTGGAATCGATGGATCGAATCCCATTCGAGGCATGGATGTCTGTTCATTCTGTGCTTGTGTTGTCCTGTGCAAGTAGCGGCCTCGCGAAAAGGCTAATCACCCACCCCAGGTTTCCTACCGAAAATCTCTAAGAATCATAGTTCCAGATTAATTCTGAATGGAAACAGGCTGGAGGGCCTAATATGAAAAGAGGAAGAGAATCTCCAAACATTCATTTATAAATTACGCTTATTAATAATGAATTATTATAATGGCCGCTACAGCCCCTTGTTGGGCCTTGACCGCTTTTTCGGTTTCTTGATCCTATACACTGTCAGTAGGACTCCTCGGACGGAGGATCAGCCCGTCGCAAGGCCTCTATTTATACACAGAAAAACACAAACACAGAATACATACATCCATGCCTTGAGAGGGATTCGAGCGAGCGAAGACATTTCATACTTTAGACCGCGTGGTCATTGTGATCGGCTCAATAATAATGAATACAATAAGCAAATTTCAACTTCGAAATAGAAGAAATAATTGTATTTTAAGGTAAGTAATCAGGAATGGCGCCGGTCACGGTGGCTGAGCGGTCTAAGGCATGTACTGTCTTCGCTCGTTTCGAAACCGGGATCGTGGGTTCGAATCCCACTCAGGGCATGGATGTTTGTGTGCGTTTTTCTGTGGTTGTCTACAGGGAGAGGCCTTGCGACGAGCTGATCACCCGCCCAAGGAGTCCTACCGTATGTGTATGATCTAGAAAAACCGAGGTGAACGGAGAAGTTCATGGAGGTAGGCCTAGGCCCATTGGGGCTGTAGTGCCAATGAAAAAAATTTATGCTTAACCTTAGCTTTCAATTATGCTTTGAAAGCACATTTTCTGTTACTTGAAAAAATGATCAATAACAGCTGGTGATTTCGGGGAGCAAATTCAGGTTTTTCAGTTTATTCAGAAATAAACCTTCAAACTAAATACCTAAACTAAACACCGTACATGGAATTCTGAGATGGCGGCCATTAAACTCCACCAAGTTTCATAATCACAAAATTAATTTGCAGTTGACAGCATAAATCAGTTTTAAAATATTCAGTCAACGATTGCTGACCGTTAATAGCAACGCCACGAAGTAAAACAGGTTATATATAGGCTACAGAAATTTAGCTGCACGGGATCCTTAGGTCCTGTACTTAGAACTGCGTAACGTGATGTTTACACAGGTCAGTAACGTTAGTCCACAGTCCACGTGGAAATTCAATTTTCGAATATGTGGTCTAAAGTCAAATGGGTCCCTGATCCCTAAAATCACTCCACAAAGTGAAACGAATTTTACAGGCAGAAACTTCGTGTCATACTAAGATATGTCTTTGGCCGCGCCACAGCTCAAGCGGTTAATCGCTGGCTTCCCACCTCGGAGGTCCGGGTTCGATCCCGGGGTCTGGTCAAGTGGGATTTGTGGTGGACAAAGTGGCACTGGGGCAGGTTTCTCCGAGTACTTCGGTTTCCCCTACCAATCTTCATTCCACCAACTGCTCCACAATCACCCTCACCTATCATCTGGGGCTGGTACAATAGGCCAGAAGTGGCCACAGTACAAGGGACTTGGTCCCACCCCACTAGCAATAGAAAAAGATTTGTTCAGATATTTTTTATAAATCTGTATATACCGCTTATAATAATTTCTGCAGATATTAAATTTACAGAATTATGTCAAAATTTACATGCGAATTCTGTTTCCTAACAAATTAATTTTTTTTTTCCTTGGCACTACAGCCCCAGTGGGCCTAGGCCTACCTCCATGAACTTCGTTCATTCGGTTTTTCTAGATCTTACACATTTGGTAGGACTCCTTGGGCGGGTGATCAGCTCGTCGCAAGGCCTCTACCTGTACACAAACACAGAAAAACGCACACAAACATCCATGCCCTGAGTGGGATTCGAACCCACGATCCCGGCTTCCGAGCGAGCGAAGACAGTGCATGCCTTAGACCGCTCGGCTACCGTGACCGGCCTAACACTTGAATACCGATCCATAAAAACCATGCAAAAATTACATTACACGTATCTCTATACTGAATACATAATGCTTATACGAGTATGTATGTATGCTTCCAGACGTTTAAACCTGCATGTGCAAATGTAAACGGCGGTTTAAAAGATACATTCAGTGCATAAATATCTAGGTCTAAAACTGTCAAATACTTGGTTCCTAAATTGCGAGAAATAACTTCAACTGAGAGTATGAGAATACGTTTATGTCTGTATAATTGTTTCTGACTTTGAAACACAGTTTATCTTCGTCCCTGGTCCCCGAAATTCGAGACCACAGAAGTGAACGATGTAGGGGTAAAATTTGTTGTTGCATCGCTGCTTTTGTACATCTACAGCTGAATATTTATTTACAAAATCCACCCTCTTGATTCATAATCCAACATCAAGCTGACACTTACCGAAATTTAAAGTGAGGACAATGCACAATATGCTGAACTGCTGTCCGAATTCCATTTTTCTTCCTCTTATGGATCAAAATCCTCTTCAGAATCTTATACACAAATAAAAACGACTGTACGTTTGACTAATGGAGAGAAGCCATTACAATACATCATATGTTTACTGAATCCTTACTGAAACACCTGGTAACAGAATCTACGGAAATGCGCTGTTCTTCTCGAATAACACTAACACACACACATGTACAAGTTGCGTATTAAAAACTTTCAAGTCACTGCGAACAACACTGTAAATTCCGTTCACATAGATACGAGGATATAATAACTTCAAACCAAGTTCTTTGTTGAAAACAGCAGTTGCATTCTGCCACTAAGACCACTCAACAAACGATGACACACGAGCGAACACCTTGTAAAGTTCATAAACTTTCAATAACTTCGCCGCGGTGATCTTGATATGCCATTAGTTAAATCCATGTTTCCGTTGTGTTGAAATGTTAAAGACGTATATTTCACTAATGTTTGTAGGTTACTTAATAAATAAAATAAATATGACAACGTGTGCCGATTGAAACGGTCGCTACGTTAGTGTTTAAATTCCCAGTTCACTCGGCTGCGCTGTACACAGCAACACCAACATAACTCCACAGCGCAATCCTGCCGAATGCGCTCCGTGGGCGAGGAAGCCAACTCGGTCAGAAACCAGTCCTGCCACCTAGGATCGCTCGTCAGCCCGTCGACAACGTGCTCAACAGACACTAACCTTAGTGGCGAGTCTCGATAACCTATGGTGACTGTTACTATCTCCAAGAAACGCGCGAAAGAGACCCGCCAAAGGTACTTGTAGAAATGTCGTAATCAATGTTAAATAATACGTCTGGTTTCACTGCAGAATACGATTGATTAAAAGCTGCAGTACGGTTCAAGGTAGAGGTGCTACTTCTTTTGCAAGTCTTCATGTTACGGAATAAGGAAGGCACCTCAGGGGTGTTATGTTCATCTGACTAATTCATCAGCGGGGCACGCGGTAGCGTAGTTGGTTCAGACACCATGCTACAAGCCGCATGGTCGCGGGTTCGAGTCCCGATGAGGTGGATTTTGTCAATTTGCCTAATCCTTCCAGCCGCACTATGGGGCTGGGATCGTTATAGCCTCTAACAGAAATGAGTATCAATACTCTTCCTGGGGGGTAAAGGCCGGCCGGAGCGTAAGGCTGACAACCTTATGGCCATTTGTGAACCGACTGTCTAAAGAAAATGTGTGAACCTCGATGTCTCACAACCCTATGGGCCTTCACGGCCTGTTACAGAGATATCTTCACCGTCTTTTTTTTTTTTGCTTAATTCATCAGCATTCGGAAATCCTTTTCTTCACTTCGTTATGAGCTAGAGTGTTCAGAGACAAAAACATGTTACACGCCATGTCATTTATGTCAAACTCTACATATATCAATTTTATATAGGCAGATCAAAAGAAGACAGCAATACTTAACAAGACTGGACAGTGTATACTTCGTAAGACAGTACATAAAATTATCAAAGGCATATGCAAAGTTGTGAGAATTTCCGACAATTTTCGGTGAAAGTCATTCACATTAGACCTCAAGAAATCTGTATAACGATTAAGGAGAGATCTTCTTGAACGGATGTTATTAAAGAGTTCTATCTCCTGGGATATAACGTTCAAGCAGTCGGTATTGTTAACTGCTTCATGTTACTTTCCCTTTCGGCTTTTTCTTCTACCCTGAAGATGGAGGCGATACGTCAATTGATTTTCAATGGGCTATATTGCGTTATGCCGATCACGGTGGCCGCCTCTCTAAGGCATGAACTGTCTTCATTCGCTCGAACGCTGGGATCGTTGGTTCGAATCCCAAGGCACGGATGTCTGCGTTTATTGTGTGTTTGTGTTGTCCTGTTTGTACATAGCGGCCTTGAGATGGGCTGATCCCCCACCCAAGGTGTCATACCGTCTGTGTAAATAAAATACGAAACAGAAGAAGAGACCAGGGCCCAACAAAGGGCTTCTAGAGCCATTGATGAATGAAAATGGAATATTACGTTATATTCCAGAAGTTGGCAGTCTTCGTTTAAGGATATATACAAAAGTCAACTTATGTCTTTTGTAAACCAAGCTTTATTACGCGTCTGTAAGGCTGAAAATCGGAATTATCAAACATCTTTTGACGTAAGTCTACGGTATCGAAGTTTAACGAAATCTGTGGAAGGCTTATAATATACATGGCTATACGCTTAGTGCAGCCGGTCACGGTAGCCGAGCAGTCTAAGGCATGTACTGTCTTCGCTCGCTTGGAAACCGGGATCGTGGGTTCGAATCACACTCAGGGCATGGATGTTTAGTTTGTGTGTGTGCGTTTTTCTGTGTTTGTGTACAGGTAGAGGCCTTGCGACGAGCTGATCACCCGCCCAAAGAGTCCTACCGAATGTGTAAGATCTAGAAAAACCGAAGTGAACGGAGAAATTCATGGAGGTAGGCCTACCCTCACTGGGGCTTAGTGCCAAGGAAAAATAAAAAATACCCTTACTGCAAGCTGTGCCTAAGCGTAATTAATTAATTAAGCATTAAGCCATGAAGACACAAAGGGGAGGGGAACAGCAGCTGCATTATTCTCAACCTCGGCACTAGCTGGAGGTGAGCGGTCAGCTTCACGCCTCAGCCACTTCAGCCCCAGGGGAAGAGTCCTCGGCCCCCATTCAATATGAGACTGGGTGGGTGCAAGAACAGGTCTGAACGTTGTGGAGGACAGAAAAATTTATTTGCTCTACTGAGAATCAAACCTCGGTCGTCCAGCTCGTAGCCTATCGCTATACCGACTGACCTATCCTGGAAGTTACTTTCGTCTTTTACTGTTACTGTGCTTTAAACACTATGTGGACTGGCCTTACGGGAGAGGGTAAATAACAAATCGGCTGCCCTACAGAACCGTTTCTTTGTATCTTGTGAAATATCAACGCGGTAACTTCCGGTTCCCGTGAGTACATTTCCGATTGCTGAATACGTGAGCACATGCGAGGGTGTCAGTAGCTCTGAAGTAACAAATGCCCCCAAGAAGGCTTTCTCATAATACAGGGTCATCGAAAAAATATCGTGATTATAAAAAACTATCACTCAAACATTGTTAAATATATATATATATATATATATATATATATATATATATATATATATATATATATATATNACGCATCCCACAAAAAGCCCATAGGGTTAAGTTGTGGGCCTCTGGGAATTCAGGCAGTTGGTCCGCCCCTCCCAATACCAGGCCTCGAACACAAGTTTTATCGATGGTTCAACCGACAAAAGCATCCCAATATCGCTCGCTACCAGTCATCAACGTAGCTTTCGCTGCATTTTAAAACTCGAGTCATTTCGGTATGTGTAACAATTTTTTAGTGATAAAATACCGTGGCCTGTAGTCCGCAAGAGAATTATACCGACCGAGCGACCGCTGCTAGGCATTCTTCTTCGATGATCCTGTATTTCTGCCTCTGCACTATTCTACGATGGAAATCACTACATCAAGGGTAACACCATGAGATTATTATTTTACCTGTTCTGACTACACTCAGCTGACAGGCGTAGTTCAAGTGTGGTGAAGTTTTTCATTATTATTATTATTTATTATTATTATTATTAGAGGGGGTGGGTTTCCCCATGCACTTAGACCAGTTAAAGTTTTTCATTAAGAAGATAATGAACATTCCCTCAGCCACACAAGAAATTCCCAATTTTATTGAAACTGAAAATTCATTACCATACTGATAAGAACCCGACACTGGTCCACATCCTCAGCCGTACAAATTCAGTCCATACTCTCACACCCTACTCCTTTCAGATCCCTAACTTAAGGACTGCAGGAGGACAGATGGGATAGAATATGTATGTACAGTTACGCTTGTGCTTAATTAAGCATCAGGCCACGAAAATATGTTGGAGAGTGGAGGTATAGCTCCAACATACTTGACCTCGGTTCCAGATGGAGGTGATATATCAGCTTCACGCTCTTGCCACTTTATCCCAGGTACTGGCTGAATGGGCTCAAGATGCGGGCTGGAATCGACAGCAAAGAGAAAAATCTTGCCTCTGTCTTCTGCCGGACGGAATAATATTAGAGTTTAGCACCGTCGCCATGTTTGTAATTATAATGAAGAATAAGTAAGTAAGTAAGTAAGTATGAATGAATGAATGTATAAGGGGTGGGCGTTCTTGGCTCTTGCACCGCGACCACAGTAAGTAAGTAAGTAAGTAAGTAAAGTAAAGGTATCCCTGTAACAGGCCGTGGAGGCCCATAGGGTTGTGAGATGTTGAGGTTCCCACATTTTCTAGACAATCGGCTCATAGATGGCGGCAAGGTTGTCAGCCTTACGCGCCGGCCGCCCTTTACCCCCAAGAATATTCCTGGTACTCATTTCTGTTAGAGGCTGAGTCGATCCCAGGGCCATAGTGCGGCTGGAAGGATTAGGTCAATTGGAAAAATCCAATAACCTCATCGGGACTTGAACCCGCGACCTTCCGGCTTGTATCACAGTGCCTCAACCAACTACGTTACCACGTGCCCTAAAGAAGAATAAGGGAAAAGATAAATCTGTCCATGTTCTTGATTAATTAAGCATCATGCCATGAAGATGTATGGTGTAGTAGAGGTATAGCTCCACCATTCTTGACATCCACACTAGACTGAGGTGAGTGGTCAGTTTCAAGCCCCGGCCACTTCACCCACAAGGAAAGATTCTCAGGTGTCCATTGGACAAGAGGCTGGGTGGCCAGGTCTGGATGCTGTGGAGTAGAGAAAAATCTCTTGCACCTTCCGGGAATCAAAACCTGGCCGTCCACCCGTAGCTCGTCGCTATACCGATTGAGTTGTGGTGTGCTCGTCCAAGAGGGCCCTGGCCACTGGTCGTTTTAAAAAATGTCCAGAGTCCATTTTGATTAGAAAATATGAGAAGTTAGACTGCGGCCACCGCATAAATTCACTTAGTGCTGTTTCTTTGAGATGTACTGTCGTTCGGTTATATTAGTCTGCTTACTGCCAGGAAACTGTCGTTGCGAGGACACAACCAGGAATAAGTACTGATGTAGCGCCCGGACTGAGGCTCCCATTGCGACCTATACTGAAAGCTTTGCAAAGGGACCAATAAATCTGATTTCTTCAGTTTGAATGTTCTGAGTTAAAAGCCGACAAGACGCGAGACGTCGCTGTGACCTCGGGCTGCAGACATCTGACTGTTAGCAACTGTCGCAGAAGAGCTAAAACCAATCACGCTGTTACTTTCAGATTCAAATTTGTCACTATTATTCAAATTATTAACTTGAACTAAACATCTAAACAGTTGAAATTCAGAAAGCAGTAATTTTCATCGTACATAATCCATCATTGACAACAAGCAAACTTTCCTTATGTCTTAGCTGTATTTAGTAACGCGTTAGTATTAATTTAAGACTGTAACTCGTGAAGCCGTAACATCGATTCTAGTCTCTCACGAATGTTACCTAACAATGTGAATCCACAAGAAACTCCATTCCTGTAGAAGACACCCTGAATGGGTTTCATGCTGCTACATGTCCGGCAACTCTATCCGAATGTAGGATTTGCGGTTATCACAGGGGTGGTTATGAAGAGTTCTATAGT